ACAAATATTATAGGGATTTGGCTACCTAACTAGATGACTGAAAATATCATTGGCGTGGTTTATTTTAAAATTATATCTAAAGTATTATAGTTAGTTAGTTATTAGTAGTATCATATAATAATTTGATTAATGCCAAAAAAAAGAGCTTCTTATTATTTTTGCTACCATACTACCTCTGAAAGAGTGTTTAATTATATTAAAAATGTCTATTATTTGTTGCGGTTACATACGTACTTAATTCGATTTTAATAACAAGCTGTATAAATTAATAAAAATTAAAAAATTATAAGGATGTTTTTATTTTTGTTGCAGAAAATATTTTTTCAGATGTGTCCGGGGATTTTTACCGTGTTTATCTAGCGTCGGCAATTTAGGTGATGGCAGTTCTAATTTAAAGGAATTGGGGAGGCCCCTCCCACCGGTGGTATAAAATATCCCCTGGAGAAACAGTTCGTGGGAGTTGATTTCAACTGTAATTTTTAATTCTGTCGAAAATCAGTATAGAAAATCGAACGAACTATTTAACCGAGAAGAAGACAAATTTATATTCAAATAAAATTACCCCATTGCGTATATTTATATTTTGTATGTAATAGCTTTAGTTAACCAATACGAAAAAAATATTTCCTCCCTATATGTTTTATTTCCTCCCTAGTCTAAAACGTCAGAATCTCTCGCAACTTCAGCCCTGTAGAAAGGATGAAGATGTAAACAATTATCGTATTTTATTTTCAAAATTTGGATTGCAAAGCAGGTAACTATCAAACATGGGCTTTTAATTTAAATAATAACTCCATCGTTATTGTGCCGTTTGAAGTTCAATAAGGACTTTTTTAATAACAGATAAGTAAACCATAAAGCTATTTATACCATTAAAAAAATATTTTTACGCATTTAGGTACATTTCATCGTTAATATTATATCTTGTATGTATAATAGGTATTTCGTATTAGAATCATGATAGCATCAAATACAATTATTCTTCGTTAGGAAATAAGTAAGTGCAACAAGGATTATATGACTTTGATAACTGATAGTACATGTACGTACAGTTGAAGACAATGTTAATTCACAGCACATTTAATATTGGCATATGTTGTATCTAATTATGTTTTTCGTGTTCAGTTAATAATAAATGCACAGATTTACTCGTTTCCCTAATAACTGGTTTGATTTTAATGGTTGGATAAATGAAGTACGAAATTATAATGAAGAAAAGTAATTATTTATTTACGATTTTTATTAACTACTTAAGCTGTTTATTGTTAAGTATTATTTTTAGTTTTTTTTTTACGAAACGGATACTGGTGTACCAATTTGTGCAGTATTAATCGATAAATAATTAAAGTTTAATTAATTAAAGATAAAAACGCCTAATGAATATACTTACATTATTAACGGATAACATTAATTGAAAATTAGTCTGAAAGGTAAGTATATTATATCGAATACCATTGCTCAAAACTATTACCTAACTTTTCTACGATTGGTACTTACGTTTTGAGACCTAAATATAATTATATTATGCGATATCACATAAGTCGCACTACATCTTCGACACGCGAACAATGTTTTGGAAAGTAAAGAATTAATAATTAAGTCTCGTAAACTAATAATCGTTTTTCAATTTTTTTTTATCATCACTCTACAATGAAAAGTCGAATATCAAGGGCGGAAGGTTACCATTATTTTAAAACGAAGCTTCTACGAGATAGGTCCCGTCCATTCCGCCTCCGGTTTGGTTACTTTGGGCTGCGGCTGCGGCTGGCATATATTTACCGCAGGCTTGTTGATACCTACGAGGGCAGCATCGTCCGCAGCATGACTGTAAAAGACCAATTGACACAGCTGAATGTGCTGGACTTGCTAACGGAGATGGAGATCCTGGTCTCTTTGGATGTCCATTGTACGGCACTTCTAACTCGACGAATTCCCTGTCTGTCGTTTTCTCCAAACAACGGAGCAGGTGATGATGTTGCAATTCGAAAATGTCTTCTTCACGATAATTGTCGTCTAATTCAATTCCTGATTCTTGGGCAGCCAAACGAGCTTCGGCAGCTTTCTTCTTGCTTACGAAAGCCGCTCCCGATGATGCTTTTGCAATTCTTATGCGCGCCAGTCTTGCTTTCTGCAATAAGAACGAAAAACTATGTAGCTTTGTCGCAATAAGTGAGTAAGAGGAAAACACAACATCTAATCGTGCTTTAGTCAGTATTTTAAACTTCTAAAAGTATTTGCATCTGAGTCAAACACATCAAAATTTAGACATACTGACGATACTCATATAATTGAATATCTATTTTTAGACGTCACCCATCTAGACTTCCCCCACAGACTTACATCTTACAAAGCACGACTTTGTATTGTAGTTCTTTGAACTGGGCAAATAATGAATAATTTATTGGTACCAATAAATTTTTAGATATTATTGAGAAGATTAAGGAAGGCCCTCCTAATAATTTCATTTTAACGTAATTATCTATGAATCAACTTTAATAAGTGAATAACCACGTAAAGACAGGTTCATGTCCTTCATTAAGAAAATGATCTTCCACAAGGTGTTTCCATCGATTTTACAGAATTGTAAAATAATGATTGAATGGATGTATTTTTAAATTCTTTGCTTCGTCTAATGTTCGAACATATTTTATACTGTTTGCTTCAGTTTTAGTTAAACGTATTTATAGTATAATAAAATTCGTCAAGACGCTAATCCTCATGTAAATATTTTGTACATTTTGAAATACTGCGTTCCGAAGTCGTATTTTAAAACCAGCGATACTCTTCTCACTTCGACTTAAACGTAAACAACTTTAATATCGTCTGTATTGTTAAAATTATTATTGCACTTTAGTCCTAATTTTACGTAAATGCACATATTAATACAATACATAATACACATATGCATAAGAAACGGACATCTGTGAGAAAATGCGTAAGCCCCACACTCGTATGATTCATTCTCGTCGACGACAAATATTTTTTTAAATAATTTTTACCTCATTAAATATGTAAATAACTGTACATCAACTTTTTCTCGTACAGCCAAAAAAACGCGTACTACTAAATAAAGGGAAGTATTAGAAAAGAATATTTGTTTTTAAACCAGTGTGTTGTAATAATTACTTCCGTATGAAAACTATTTATAACATTTTGGTAGTTGCCATGTACGATTTAATCATGTTGAATTACTTCCAAGATTTTTAAATAAAATGCTTAAACTAAACTTTTAGCATATTAGTTAAATATAAACTAACTTCTGAATGTAAACACTGCATAACAAACTACTTACTTCTGTCTACATCGATTATTGAATAAAAAAGTAATTATAGTATTGAAGCTGCCAAAAATATTGACTTTCACTGTATTTTATTAATAGCTACTTTACGGAACATAGACAACAAATTATCTATTGCGCCTTAAAAATAACAATAAAGCTTAAACCATAATGAATCTGGGAAGAATACGTCACAGTGTAATCGGAATTCGTAAAACTAAAATGTGATGAAATACAGGGTGACCCGAAAAGTACGTACTCAGGCGCGTGATTATCATAGCCCTGTAGAGTGATATAGGGCCATGCAAAAAATCCCGGCGATATTCAAATATTTCAAACTTTTTGGGTAATTTGACTCGACAAAAAACATTTGAATATAGCTGCGATCTTTTTCATAGCTTCGTACTGCCCTTTAAATGAACACTGTACAATAAATAAAATTTTGATGCTACATACGAACTTGTATTAAAATATGGAGTAAGTTGTGCTTAAGTTCGGTTAAACTTATAGTTTGACCACAATGAGCATAATGCGTACTTTTTAGGATTCCCTGTATGGCGTCGGAAATTTGCAAAACATGCAGCTATCTTTTTACCTTTTATGAAATCAATCTTAAATATTTTAAGTAATTTACCATATTCCGAACAATATTTTTAAATGAATAGAATTTTTCTTCGTAAAAAACCATGTCGCAAATCAAAAGTGTAAATTCAGGAAAAAGATATGACCTAAATTAATAACAATCCGTCCACTGTATGCTAACTAGTTTAAAGTTAAAGCAGGAAATCGATACCAGAAGTAATATATTCTTTTTCCGAAAAATAAATCCGTGGAGTCATTAAGAGCAGGGCTGTCTCTAGAATTAAGGCCGCCCCGGGCAAACTGTTAAATAGCCGCCCTTAAAAATATTGGATGTCGTGTATACACATATATAAAAAACTTTTTTTTGGAAATTTTTATTTATGCGAATTAAATAATATAAATATGAATGAAAAACCAAACAGATTTTCTAGCTTTAATTTCTTTTTGGTGGACGCCATCTCAGAAACGGTTAGAGATAGGCTTCTAAAAAGGTCATAAATCGTCGTATCGCATGCTTTAAAGACGTTTTAGACCAGTACTTGTTTGTTATTATCTATTCTACTTTAAATATCCCTTATATGTNAGAAATTAACTCGTTATAATTTAATGTATTTGCCGCCTCAATTTTTATTGAAATTAATGCCAATTAAAGAAGTATAAAGCCGTACCCGATTTGGCCGCCCCGGGTTGTTAAGACGGCCCTGATTAAAAGTATGACTCATGCATTTATACACATGATTAGGAAAAAATTAATGTCAAAAATATAGGAATTAATAAACACATAAAAATAAATGTTTACCCTCTGAGCTTTGCGTTTGTCAGCCCTCTGGTTTTGATGGTAGATTCTGCTGAAATTTGATACAATTACTGGTACAGGCAAGGCAATTACAAGGACACCACTAAGAGAGCAAACTCCTCCAACAATTTTACCAGCTATTGTTTCAGGCACCATATCTCCATAGCTATTAACAAACAAATTATTTATTACTACAAAACAAGAACCAAACAAAATATGTACATGTTTACGTGAACTATTGCAGTATTACTTACCCTAAGGTAGTCATGGTGACGATGGTATACCAAAAAGCTGCAGGAATCGAAGTAAAATTGGTTTCGTTCACATTTTTCTCAGCGTAGAACATAACTGTTGCAAATATAATAATAGCCATCGCCAACGAGAAAACAAGAAATCCAAGCTCAGAAGCACAAGATTTTAAAGTATAACCGAGAATTCTGAGACCTTGAGAATGTCTGGAAAACTTAAATATTCGAAACACTCTGAATACTCTTAGGGTCACAAACGCTCCAGACACATCGTCGTTGTCTGTAATTCCAAGACCAATATAATACGGAAGGATAGCCACGACATCAATAATACTCATTACGCTCCTCACAAATTTATATCTATTAGGAGCCGCAAAAAGACGCAAAAGATATTCGGCCGTGAAAATCATAACGCAAGCAGTATCTAAACAGAAGAAGACAATCTTGTAACGTTCGCCACATGGAAGAGGGCCGGCCCTTCCAGGCCTAATACCACATGGAACGGTTTCCACAACGTTTGCCATAACCGAAACGGCAATGAAGAAACCAGTAACATAATAGAAAACGAGTGCAGCAGTTGATGTGTGAGGATTTTCAAAAGCACGCCACATCTTCTGCCGAATGTTGGTCAGCTGCTGAAGATTTTGATCGCCGTTTTCCGACAACTTGTCGTCCATAAGTCTTTCCGCATTTTCGCGTTTCCTATCTCTATAATCTTCATAACAGCAGTCTCCAATAACATCAGGAAGTATTCCGAAGAACGCAAGTTCTTCATCGTAACTCGTAAGGCATTCATGCTTAGGATAATGTAACTTGCCTGTTCGATAATAGTTAAGAATATGCCGGAATATGTCGGGATCCCGATCGAAAAAGTATTCCTTACTATCTTCGTCGTAGAAGAACTCTCGTTCGTTTGAGCCCAAGAGGGTGTCCGGATACTTTTCGAGGGTATTCCGCCAAGTCTCGAAGCGGCGTCCGGATACGTTAATGAGCAATTTTTCGTCGTCCGCTTTCCTTCGGTCTTTAGGGATGGGAGGTGGCGGTAGCGGGTGAGTTGCAATGGGCACCCAACCGATGGCCGCCGCCCGTGCGAAGGGCAGCCAAGCGGCGACCGAGGCCATACTATGAGGCGGAATGATTGTCCACTACAACGGTGGTATTGTTACAGCTGCATCGTAGCAAGCCTCTCGAGGACAGAACCGAAGGATTTTATTGATAACAAGGATGAAGCACTTAGCATATTAGGAAACGACAGCGAGTGACGAACAGCCGCACTAGGTCCCACTGCTTCTGATTTTTTTTCCGCGGAAACTCGCGCTAACGCACCATTTTTATCAAGATCCGTAACACTGCGACTGCGGTAGCCCAAGGAGCTAGTGCGCTCAAACCGCTATATCAAAGCCACCCCAACGTTGCCACAATGTCTCGGAAAATTTTTCATCTTGACTCAAGCATAAAAATCAACTGCTTCTTTTCCTTAGTATTCTCAGCACCAGGTAACTTTTAAACTTCTCTCACTTCAAAAAAAAAAAATTAAATCATAATTTACCGTATCACCAAACTCAAGGCAAATGTATATAAATAGTAGATAATTAAAAACTAATAAAACTTTCAAGAAGCTATATCAATATTTCATATGCACAATGTACTACAAAACTCTTCATGATTATTTTTTTGTTGCGAATCGGACTGTTAGTTTAAATTTCCAAAAAGTTTTCTAGACTTCAAAACTTTGTATTACAAATTAAAATTATGTTATTTGGCAATACCGACACGAGTTACCGCGACTGACGCCGACGCCATACATTGATCGTCGCGACGCTCATCTGGGTTTCTCTTGACGCCTACCGCACTCTCCTCGATGTATGTAGAATAGATTGCATCGTTTGCATTATGCTAAACTAGGGCCGAAAGTGTTCTTCTAATTACCTACTTTTTAGTTGACAACAACTCTTACACTTCAAAAAAAAAAAAAAACAAGAAAGTGTTAAACATTATCCTTAGGTAACAAACATATCGTTGTTGTCAATAAAATTAAAATTAATAAAAATTACAGATTCATTTAAAAATTATTTGTTAAAAAACAAATTATTAGTGTTGTACTTTTATTTTCCGTTTAGGAAAGTTGAGGCTGTTGGCCCTTGATGAAACTCGTCGTTTAATAAATGATTTGTAATGAAATTCGTGGATAAGTTTTGTTCTTCCAGAGAATTCCTTGAAAATACGTGCAACGCAAAAAACAATGCCAAAACGGGGTAAAAAGTTCTTCCAGAAAAGTTTTATGATACTTATATCGTTTTCTTTTTCCCTTAAAACTCCACTTATTATTCAATTTTAATTTTCATTTCATGCGAAGTATTTTTTTATCCGAAACCTAACAATGGACGCCAGGGTGCCCTATATATCCATCTGTTAATTGTATGTTAAATGTACCGATAAACATGAAAAGTTCGGTATATTTAGAACGATATTAATTTATTAAAATAAATACAGAGCAAAAACCGCAGAAAATAAAAAAATAAAAATGCAGATCGCAGAGGGTAAGTACAGACGTTTGCATATAATCGTAAAATAAATTGCCAAATACAGGATACAGGGTGGCGCCCGTTACAATGTTCTTTCAAAAAATAATAACTCAATTAAGTTTTATTGAAATTTCTTTAATCAACGCTATTTTTTCTACAGAATTGTGTACTTTAAGACCACGAATCCGTCAGATATGCTATTGCATTTTTTTTACACACTGGATTTACCAATAACCAGACCTATTGCACTAAAATAATGTTGGACTGGAAAGGCTTAAACAAAAAAAAAACAAAATCTTATATAATTGGTGTGAAGAGCATTACATATGTATATTTTGTACAATGCATTTGTTTCATTTGTTTTTTTTTTTTTAATTGTTACAACCCATTAGTTTTAACTAACTAAAGCTCTCACTGTCTGTAGAAATAGAATACAATAATAAATTGTAATTTTCGTTAAACAAGAAAAAGTGCCCGGAAGTGCAAAAAGATCATTTCTTACTTACAGTAGCGGGTGCTGTAATAAAATAAATCAAACATGAGAGTATTATTTCAAATGTAGGTATTAAAAATAATCCTACAAGTATAGTTATATATAACTATTCTATTAAAATGATGCAAAGATTCTCATTTAGGAAAAATCCCTTATTAATTAAATTATAAAATATTCATCGGTCATTGTAAATAAAACCAATTAAATTTTTGATATATGTAGGTACCTACGATATATAAATAAATAATTTGAAATATTTATTGCACAATGCAGCGGACACTTTATTTATATCTATCGGTACGATGAAATTTAATAAGTAAAATTTAATCAAAAAGGGATTTTTTACAAAATAAAGATGGCAGGGCGTTTAAGGGTACAAATATAAGATACAGCCCCCGCTTTTTTATTTAAATTCACGACCTAAAACTAACTGGAATGGAATGACTAGAAAAGAACTATTACAGAAACAAATAGTTGGACTTATTAATTACGTGCTGACTAGACTTAAACAATATTCTATTTGGTATTAAGGCATGTGTGGCCCGACATTGCCACCTGGTTTTTCTTATATATTAATTTATTTATACGAAGAACAGCACATAATGTCTATAGAAGGTAATGGCAAATTTATCCCATATTACTAATGCCCATATAAAACAAGCTTAATACAAATATTTGTCGAGCTTCTCAACGAATTTTACGAAATAATCCCTCAAAATCGTAATAATCATTATTCTAGGCACATTTTAATTGATAAGCCACGCGGAAAAGTACCTAAAAATGAATTGATGATAATTCATGTATGTTTATAGATATTAGTTATAAAAAATGAAAACCCCGACAAAAAATGTGTAAAGTTAATAGAAAAATGATCGTGAAAAACGGATTTTGAGGGTGCAGTTTTGTTTGTTTGTTGTTTTAATGGTGCAGTACAAATCTATTTCACATAAGTATTTACAAGTAATTAAAAATTTATTCTACATAACATTCTGACAAACTTTACACGAGAAAAAGTGTAACAACATTTTATTTTGAATAAATAGTTCACGAAGTTTAAAACTTCTAAACTAACAAAGAATGTATCTGCTCCATGAAAAATAATGAAAATGATACGAGTAAAATGCAATTGTCCCTAATTGTTCTAATAACAGTTTTACTTCTTGAAATAATCATACCTCAAACAAAGCTGTATTGTTCTACTGTATTATAATAGTTGTAGGTAAGTATACGAAAAACCATTAAAAATATTTTTGGTACGTATGACAAGGTGCTCTTTTACGGACACTGCCAAAATACCCCGACCTATTATCGACGCAAATAAAATTGACAATAATGCAATTTTGTACAGTTCTCAACTTCTGTGGTCGATTCTTGTGCTACTTTTTTTTTTCGTAGAATAATAGTTATTTTATCAAAATATAATACATTCTGATTGATATTGTTATTAGAATTTTCAAGTATAAACAAACGTACATACTGTGTATTTGACCCGATTCTAATACAAAACAATAGACGTCCCAATCACAGATAAAATTATTTCTTAAAATACTACATTATGACGTCTACGAAAAAAAACTTTTAAACACGTGCTTACAGACAAAAGGCTTTGCATTATAAATCATTTTGCAAAAAAAAAAAAATTAATCTCTTCATCTTGTACATAAGCAAAACACTAATTTTATCGGTATGTTTTCGAAAATGTGCCCACTTTTAAAAGTAATAATTGCTTACCATCAAATTTAAAAATTTTGCGGTCGATTTTACCGTAAAATCTTTAAGATGAAATTAACTTATTTTAAGTAAAAACAGTAGGTAGTTTTAAATTAATCTTTTGCTTAGCAATTAAGAATATAAGATAAACAACAAACACAAATGTTTTTACATATAACATTAAAAAGTCGTAAATTAGTTCGATTATTTTTGAATCATACTTTTAGACATTCATGTTTAAAAGAACTAATTTTCATCATTATTACTCTTAAAAGTAAATAACACTGACTACCAATAATGGCGATTTGAATATGGAATGTGTTAAGAGTGAGATAAACCTTAAAAACAAGTTACCTATTTTATATATAAAAAATAAATTTATACCTGTTACGTTTAACTTTGGAATGCTTAGAAAAAGACTAGATATTTATTAACAAAGTAACTATCATACCAAGGAACCACAAAATAATTCAAAACATTTTCTGAACCGAATACCCAATAAATAAATAATTTAGAATAAATAATTTCCGTACGAATATGTAATGAATCTAATAAATATTTCAAAGGGACCTCTAGTTAATATGTACAAAATAAAGATGCTTTGTTTGCACTTATGTGTTAAACTATAATTTACGTAAAAATCTAAAATAAATGAGGCCACTGCAAAAAATTTGTTTTTACCTGGAATTTACGCATTTTTTTCATAAACAAATACATCACTTAATTTTGTTAATAGTTAGTATTTTGAACATTACACCAAAAATAAATCATTAAATAAATATATAAAATGTATAAATTGTTTTGTTACAAGTGATTGTCAGACCAAAAGCGCATTTTTACGCAATTCCCAGGTAAATTATACAGGTACTTGTTATTGCTAGATGAAGCTACGTTAACTTATATACGGCGATCAATCTGATAGTATTTTTGCAATAGCCTTCCTCAGGTTTTATTTTCACTTTGAATGGCAATAAACGTAAATAACAACTATCTTAAATGCGACAATAAGGACAATAAAATCAAGGACTAGAAAGCAAGTAGACTCGTAATTAACAGCCCCTAAATATCTCGTTAATTATTTTTTTTTTCTATTTTTGAAAAACTACCTGATAAAGTTAGTATTAGGTCGAAGTCTAAAGCAGATAAAAATAAACATAAAAGTAAAAAAGCAAACTAAAAAGTATTCCGTTTTGTGAACCTGCAGATTCACTTCCTGGTTAAAAATTGTTTAAAAATATTAAAAAGTAACGACAAAAAAAAAATAAATAACCATTACGAAAGCTGAATATAAACGGTAAGTTTAATCAAAGCGTTTTAATTTTATTGATTGCTTTAAGTACGTAATGTCCACGAACGTCTTGCAATACCAAAAATAAAAAAAATTCTAACGAAAAAATAGAAATGTAAATAAAATCGAGACCTATCCGTATTGCAAAACGATATACGCAAAACTGAAAAATATTCTAAACGAGTACCTACAAAAAAGAAAATAAACATAATTCGAAAAAAATGATTATAACAAAAATATAATTCTAAACTATTAAATGCAAACGTTACGTTTACTCTATAAAATAAAATGTGTACTTTGATAAAATTTAAATAATCTAACAAGCTTAGAACTTTGCCTGTAGTACATAAAGCTTGCACTTGTTGTTTTAAAACAAAAAATAAAATTTCTAATTGGAACATAAAATTTAAAACTTGGTAACAACGTTTCGAACCCAGTCTGTCACTCAGTAGGTACGTGTTTTTCGGTTTCTTGTTTCAAAAAATGTACATCCTGGTCAAATACCAGTGTAGCTGCTTAAGCCTGCACTGTTTTTGATAAAATACAAACGCCATCACTATAAGTTGTCCACAGTATCAACAAATGGCGTCACGTATTGCATGTCACAACACTTCTTCGTTATCATCGACGTCATTGTCCAGATCAGCGTCTTGGTCCTGATCGTCCTGGTCCAATCCGGGTGACATTTGCTGATGCAGGAGGGTTGCATTTGTTGCTTTAGGATCCTCATCTTTCCACTTATCCATACTTCTTCTTCTTGCGTTCATAAAGAAATTGCCCACTGTCGTGGGCTCCAATCCCAGTTGACGTGCAATAGTCACCTGCATTTCTTTAGATGGCCTCTTCGTCTCCTAGAAACAAAAATGGAGAATATTGAGTTTAAAACAGTAAAATTCTTTTCATTTTCTCCAGCAGTATCTCCGACTCTTACCTTAAAAATAGCCTGTAGAGTACGGCGTTGCAGATCGGTGAAAACCAGCCGGGGCTTCTTGGGGGTAGGAATTTGATCCGAACTGTTCGAATCGTCTTTCCTCTTGCAATCTGAAAAAAAAAGAACTGAAAATAAAAGTCTACACGTTTCAAAATCAACACATGCAAAATCAAAAATAACTTCATTTATCTATGTAGATATACTTGAGAGTTTCGTATTCGTAAAAAAGGACAATAATAAAATGATTTTTTGGTGCAACGTAAACTAAACGTTAAATATAATAAAAATAGGGAACTTACTGCCTCGTTGTGGTATCTGAGCAGCTGAAACCAAAAAAAGCACAATGTAGCTTCACTGATAAATCCTAATATTACTTAATTAATTACAAAAAATATTCAATAATTGACACAACATGCAAGCCTTTACATAAATTTACATAAATAATAATGTAGATAGAGCTAATATAAAGTGTGCACATTCGTATGAACATACTCCAAAGTTTTTAAATTTAACATTACTGTATTTTTTGTTTGCTAGATATGTTACCGTTTTAAGTCCCAATTTTTTTTCTTTAATGGCCCAATTATGCTATTTAAATTTAAAGCACATTAAGCATTCAGCAAAAAAATATTTTAGCGGGATCACGATAATGATTAAGTTAATTAATTGTTACAATTCTGGTAAGTACCTAATTTTTTCGGGGCATGCATTTGTCAGTATGTTGCAGCTCTTTTTAAAATGATCTTCATGCAATGAGTTGAAATAAACATTTATTAGACAGACAGACAGACAAAACTCACTAGCATGAAGATGAAGAAGGTGGTTTTCTTCGCTTGGGGTTGACTGCCCTCACGTTAACATTGCGCACCTGGCTGTCTGCAATGAAAACAAGAGAGTGGTCAACAATATTGGTAAATAAACATTTAATATTTATTTGGTTGACTTCGACCATTCTGGAAATAATATTGCAATTTAACATTATTAAGCAACATTAATCAATTTTTATTGTATTTTATATAAACGTTTTGTCTGTCTGTCCGTCAAAATTCCGAAATTTCCATTTAAAATAATATATGCTACAACAGCATTAAAAAAACACTTGAATACAAACACAATGGAAAAAACACGTGGTGTTCTGTGGGAATGGCAACCTGTATCTAGAAAATCAATACTTTGCCAGCTGAAAACTATGTTTATAGGGGGAACCAGGATACGATATAGAAAGGAGTATATAATAAGTACATAAATATTTGAATGACACGTCTTCTACAAAAGGTATACGATTTTTAAATGAACTTACTCTTTGAAAACATAACGCAGTTCTTTCTTTCTTATTATTAGTTTTTAAAAAGAAGGGTGAATTTGTTTATTAACTTTTACGCAACAACATATTCGATGAACTCATGTATCAGAATAAATTACAATATATATTACAACAAGCACGTGTTACCGTCGAAACCAAACAAGTTTCTTTTGTAAAGAATAAGGTGACCAAAAACGGTACTGCGTTATATTTTTGTCATGTTTAAAGCGCAAATAAATTCACTAAAAAAATATCCTAGAGCAAACAACTTCAGTTTAATACAACTACATGTTTACTGTTTAATGTTGAACAAAATACGAACCTGCAAGTCTCAAGGCTGACATTCTCTGAAATTCTGGCTCCTGAAGCCATTTCCACATCCTGCGAAATGTTTCCCTGCCAGATTTTAATTTCGACCAAGGCTTTGGATTTCTGAGTAAGTCTGACAAAGTACCTTGAGAACGACAAAGTACTCTTTGGGCAAAAATAGCCTGAGGAATGCTGTACCGTTTCAACTCCGCGCTGATCCGCTGAGCCAATTCTTTGGTGTTAATCTCTTCAACGTCCGTGGTGATGCTGGTGACGCTCAATGAACTGGAAGTCGTACTTTTCGCTTGTATTTGTTGAAGTTGCGTTTGAGATTGTTGCTGTTGCTGTTGTTGCTGCTGTTGCTGTTGCTGGACAGCTTGTTGATGAACGGTTGTTGTTTGTTGAGGCGGTTGGATACTCAAAACAGGAGGCGATGGTGAGCATTCTCTTTGAGGGGCTGCAATTTGCACCAAGGCTGGAGGAGGATTGTGTTGAAGTGTGAGACCATTTAATGTCGCCCCGCTAAAACTAGTGACTAAAGTTCCTCCAGGTGAGTTTAAAGATGCTGAAGGAGGGCTAAGCGTAGGACTTTGTAGAGACCGTGTTACCAGATCCCTTTGGGTACCGTATGGCGAATCGTAACTTGGAGGAGACATACTCTTTTGAGGAGAAGCCAATCCGTTCTGGCTATATGCACTTTGGGGACTAATCGGACTAGGCTGCTGCTGCATGGCCATGTTAGGAGAAGAATAACCATGAGGAGGACTCATGCTCATGTTGGGCATGGTGTAAGCAGTATTAACATTTACGGGCCCAAGTCCCAAACCGATACCTAAACCATTATTTTGCATAACAGTAAAAGAACCCGTAACATTACTAGCATGTCCATAGGCGAATTTGTCGGACATGGTGGAGATTGGAGGTAGAGGTTGCAGGGGTGTCAATGTGGCATACGAAGAAGAGTTCGGACTGTATCCTGGAGGTGACATACGACCGTTTACGGAAGTCAACGTTTGATAAGTCGGCTCCGGTTGAAGTGTACGAAAATCGTTGGCATCTATCATTCCAGCAACACCAACAGACGTGGGGGACAACTTTCCAGGGCTAAGTAACTCCGAATCTCTAGAGTCCTCCTGGGGTTGCACTATGACGGATAGAGCCCCTCCGGCGTCCGTTTCCTCTTGTTTGATAAGGTGCCTTTCGACAACGGCGCGCGGTACCAATCTCATTCGGACGGCTTGTGTTTCCATGCTGCTCGCATGCGCACCACCTTCTGCGGAATCGACCGTTTGTTCTCCAAGTGTCTGCTGGTCTATCATCTTACCGATATTGTCCATGCTACCGCTACTATTGATGCACTAGGAGTCCTGTTCACATTCCGTCGTGACCGTAACCCGAACACCACCTCCGTGAACTATTATCGTCGTTCACCCCCCGGTTCTGCGCCACTACACTATAACTCGCGGCAGCGACGGCCATAACGACAACTTTGTTTATGACGGCGGCGCTGGACGTCCCGACGCTTCGCAAACTACAATAAAGTTTCGTGTGAAACAAAAAGGACGACGTAACAGGTCTTCAAACATGTTCTAAAAACTATTGGCACTTCGCGACCACTTTGGTGATAACGAATGAAAACTAATATTCAAGTCATTACGACAGGTCGATTCCACATTATGCCTCAGTTTCGATTAGTATCGCTCTATGAAATTATCACTGGTAGCCGGTCGATACTGGATTGAAAAAGGGGAGCGCTCGCGTCGCCAGGTGGTTATCTGCGCGCGCCCCTCGTGCTACTTGCCCCCGTGGCCTCGCGTCCCTATTCTGCGCTCCAGCAGCTGTTTAGGGTGCGTTAAGGGTTTCTTTCTCTTCCTCCTCGTCCGTCGTGTTCTGCCTCTTTTCCGACGCCGACGTCACTACGTTGCCTTGTTTAGCTGTATTCAGTATATCCGCCAAACATCCCTTCCAACATCAAAAAAGTCGCAAAAGAAGAAAAATTCAACAAAACAAAATTTTCACAACACGACTCTTTTTAAAACTTTTTTAATATTTTCAATTCACTTCAGGCGAATTTATTGAACTGTACCTTTTTTTTATAAAAAGCCAATTTTTCAGTATCATGTACAGTTTTTTTGTATAGACGTTTACCCTACCGACGAAAACAACTCTGATCTTAACTTTTCTCTTACTGTTTTCAGTCTTTCAGTGTGGAAGTTACACCGATACATGAACAAATGCACTCTCCCTGCCATTTTCATTTTCGTCCCCTTTTTCCTCGATCTTACACTAACATTTTTACCCTTCCACTCTATCGTCATCCCCTTCTTCGAGTCACATTTCTTAGTATGAATTGCTCCGGTTGTCTCGTTGGTGGTATAATTCTATGAATTACTCTTGAGAAATGCGACTGATGCATCACAATTGGCTAGTTCAAATAAAAGTAAGGGAAAATAGCGGCCAACTTGCGACTTCCTTGAATCTTTTTTGTAGGATTTGAACATACGAGTAAAAATACTTAATAAATTTCTTTGAAAGGTGAATAGGTATTCCATGAATTGTATGATAGATAGGTGGTCTTCTTTAAGCACAGAAATACCTACATTCGACTCATTTAATCACAACACAACATACAAATGCATCAAAAAAAAGATTAAAATTTTAACGTATTATGTATGTTTATATTATTTTATGTGGGACACTTCGTAATTTCTTTTAAATTTAGGCTAATGTAGTGATCAAAATTTTACTAGAAAAATCGTTTTCATACACGTACTACTAAGAGCTTTTTCAGCAGCTGGTGCAATTTTATTTAGCCCTAATTACATTCGGCTTCTTATTGTCTATTTCGCTTTACCCTTCTTTAGTCTTTTGCTGATTTTCCATTGTAATTAATATGAAATGTAAAATTGCCCCTCAGACTGACCCCAACGTTATTTTGTTGCAATTGGAATCACTCATTTGCGTCATGCTTGAAATAATGTATTTTAGCTTCGAAACCCCTATCATACCGCTAATATTTCCATAAATGAACAACGTTAACGAAAAATGTAACAAACGCCCAAGTAAAATATTTACTAAATGTATACATGAATTTAACAACACATATAATTCTATTTAGGTAGGTCTACTTTACCAAATCGTTTATGAAATTTACATGCACAATAATTTATTTTTCTCGCAAATTAAATATACTTTATTGTTAAAATTTTGCATCTTTTATTGTTATTCGGTGAAAAATCATAATTATAATTATTATTGAAGGAAAATCTCTAAGGTAATGTTACTACGTAGATAGTTTTTGAATTTAACTTTTTAAAGTCTCAATCAATAATCCAGCACATGACTACAACACTATATGTGACAAAACTTCTAACCGTTTTATACTGCGAAGATAAAAGTACATACTTCGTATTATAGCTCTTTAAATGCATAATTTTTATCTATATACGATACAGAGAGTGTAGCAACTCTTCCACCTTAAAAAATACATATGATAATTGTAGAGAATGAGAGAAAACTGCGTTTTCAAATATTAATTTTTTCTCATTTTTAATTACCGTCTAACATTTTCCTCATTAATCTTAACATTAACTGTCATATTTGTAGTTGAATATAAGTCTATTTTTATTTTCTATTTTTCCAATAACTAAATTAAATTATTATGGTACTTTATTCGTCGATCATTTAAAAATTAATAGCAGAAGTAGGTGCCTACTTACCTGTTATTATTTATTACACACACCTATGCACATTACTTCACACATTTTTGTAAGAATAATTATATTTTTATTTATGTTATAAATATCGTAAATAGTTTATATTGTTTAATAAATTTAATTGTACAATAACACTTTAGAACGCATTTATATCATATAGGAAGAAAGATAAAAGCTGTTTAATAGTTTTCAAAGGGGAATACGGAAAAAAAAAATAAAAAAAAACTACATTTAAAACGTCTATTTACATATTTATTGAACGAAAAAAAAAGAAATAAATATCATCGCAAAGTACTATTTATACTTGTTTAATACAAACCAGTACTTCACGCAGGCAGTAGGGTTGCCAGCCTGGAATTGGCAATATTCACAGCCATTAGAGCATTGCTTGTGAACCCATCACAGTAAATACAATGCAGATTTAGGTAGTTACTTTAAAGTATTACACTTACTCGTTAAAAAGTTTATGCCAACTATACTCGATTTTTTTTAATTAAAATTATTTCTCCATTATTAGTTATTATTAGCATCGTCTGGAGAGACCAATTGTTTTTATTTTTACTAAATTATGCACAATCTGAATACTTTTAGTATTGTGCATGGTAGAGAGCCTCTTACATTATCGATAATCATCTCAATAACGAAATTACACATACGTTTAATAAATTTCGGATGATATGCATAAAGTTGAATGCGTAGTACAGCCTCACAATCTTGAAGTGGCCACTCCATTTAAGAAACATAAAAAGTGATTAGAATCTCCAACATGTGAGTGTCTACTCTCTTTTCGGGAAGATCTACTCGCTCCCTGGGATGCGACTCAGATTTTAGTATGTTAAATGAAAGTATATATATGCTTACATTACTGAATGTCTAGTTTAAAAAGTACGAGAATCCTTAAAACAGACCCCCACTTTTTGAAACTAGACACTTACTAGTGCAGTATACTCTGATTTATGCATCAACAATCTAAGTAGCAAATAGGTGATCAAGAAAGGAGAGTATACACTCACATGTTTGAAATTTTACTGACATTATTATGCAGTTTAAATGGACTACTTAAAAGTATGAGACTATAACGTACTATGCACTAAACTTTATGCTTATCACTTATCACCAATTGTGTTTAAATATTGTAATTAAAACGAATAATAACATTTGTCAATCAACTAATATAATCTAATAATTGAGAAGATGGCTATAGCGAATTAGTCGTTTGGTCTGTCATATACCTACAGTAATACATTAACTATGGCTTAGAATAAAAGTAAAGTTTGAGCACTACAAAAATGGAACATCTACTAAATTATTAAATGAAAAAATAAAGTTAAACCTTAAGTACTTAACGCCATTACTTTTGGCATAAACTTCGACATTATTTAAATAGAATATGTTAAATCTAATACTGCTACTGACAACTTTACATTAAAGATTAGGGGTGTGACAAAAAACATATATAACACCACACGAAGCTTTCGATTTGCAATAAAATTGCCGTCAATTTTCGAGATTCTGCATTAATAGCTTTAAATAATTGCTCCATTATTTCGTCACGCTTTATTTATTTCTATTTACAGGCGAATGAAATGTTTGCTCTTCTTCCTTGTAGTATGAGTTACCTTTATAATGTTTACATTTAACTAAATGTATTAACTAATTTTTAATAAAAAATTTCACTTTTACTAGTACACAAGCACACAACTTGTTTCTATGTACATTTTCATATTCATTTTCAGAAGTACTTAATCTAAGATCGGTAACGATAAAACATATTTCAAAAAAAGAATAGAATATAACAATATCTGTGTTCAGTTAAACTAATAAAGAAAACAAATACGTTATGCAAATTAGCATTTGACTGCGTGTAGTATTGGTCTTTATATAATAATAATATTTTTATAAAGCAAAGACAGTGACATTCATATTTTATCTTTTTATAAGCCAAAAGTAACAAAAATTAACGCCAGTTTATTTTCTAAACGTTTTTTACAAAGAAGAAGTTATAGCATTAAACCGTGTTTCGAACTTTTTAAACGTGAAATAAATAAATTTAAATTATTAATAAATTAAGAACGTCTAATTATTACAACAACAAAACAAAACAATAAACCTTCACTAACTAAAGCCTGCATTAAATTTCCATTAACAACTTTCTTTTTAAAAATATTACGGTTTTTATCTGATTCGTTAATAAATGAGCCCAACGTTCAGTACTCGAAAATAAAGAAAAACGTGAACACTGCGGGTAAATAATATTTTACGTATTATGTATTGAAAAAACACGATAATGTATATCAAAATTATTAGCGACGCATATACTTAACATTTGCTATTTACATTAACTATGAGAACAGTCTTAAAAAAATAGTCTTTAGAACTACACATTGGGAGGACTGCCTTAGAACATTTGCAACTTAGGCAAATCCCGTTCATTAAAATGACTGATAGAACAAAACTTACTTTTAATTTTAGATTAATTTCGAAATTCCTTTAATAGTACACACACTCTACAAGTAACTATATATGTATAAGGTCTATAATAAAATATACGATACAGTTAACTGTTGACACCCTTCAAGACGATGTTAAAAAACTGTTAATTCAAAAGTAATAATTAACGGAGATAAATTCTTATATGCACCTTACTTTCTGTATTATACTTTTATTATACAAAACCAAGTATAACACAATTTCTAAATACGATTCGATAATATTGCCACTAAGAAGCTCTAATTAATAGTTTTTAAATAAAAGCAACGGAAAATGGTAGAAAGGTGTCTGCATTTTTATTATTATATTCTGGCTGGATAAATACCTAGTCATTTTCTGTCTATGCATCAAAATCATTTTAATGAACGAGATTGATACATATTTTCTAACTGCTATTTCATGTTAAATATTGTAAGTTTTTTCTGCAGACAATTATTACTTTGTGGAATTTCGGCACTTTCACTGACATCAGCATGTATAATAAATCCGTTAACATCTGACGTTAATCTACTTTGCTTATGTTCTAGACTTACAGATTTATCATTAGTAGTTCTTTTAATTCCTTGGATTTTATTACTTCCTCTAGGATTATTTTTGAGAATGTTAGGTTTATGATGCATATTTAAAACAGAAAATGTTTTATAAGAAGGTGAAGTAATCATATTGCATTTAGCCATTTGAATTTCATTTTTTTGTTTTTCTAAGCGTTGATTTCTAAGGATAAAACTACCGCCTACCCTTCTGGTCACTGGTGTTGGCATAGACAATGGTTTTGGATGACAACTATACATTTGAATGGCAGACAAATGACCTGGAATAGTTAATAAAACCCTTTGCGTTGTTAATGGAACTGTAAGTGCTGGCAACGTAGCTGATGTTCCGACAATGGGCGACATTCCTATCTGAAAAATCTATTTAAAAATGTATGTGTAACTTTAACATTTTTCGCTTCGACCTACGTTTTCTTCGAAGACTTTTTATAACTTCACATGGAATTCTTACTTTTAAATTTTTCGTATAAACGATACGGGGATATATATATCTTTTCTTGTCACTAACATAAATAACCATGGACTTTTTTAACAAAATTTTGCATTCCTTTACATTTTTCAAAAGTTTGGGAGAAATAATTCCAGATATGTTCATTTTTTCAGATACACGTTTTGATGAAACAGTTTTTATTCTTTTGATTACTGCAGGAAACGGTGGGCATGCAACTTCAGGCACTTTCATTTTTTCAGATACACGTTTCAAGTCAACAGTATTCGTTCTTTCGGTTACAGCAGGATATGGTGGGCATACAACTTCAGCTACTTTAATTTTTTTTGTAACTTGTTTCAAGTCAACAGTTTTCGTTGTTTCGATTGCTACATGGCAATGAGGACATACAATAGGAGCTATATAACTACCAGGTTCTTCAATGAAAGAGTCGTTCAACCACATTTCTTCTACGCTGCTATCGCTATCAGAACCACTATCTGACAATATTAGAGGATAAGTGGGAGCTTCTGCCAATAGCTATCAAGGGGTCAAAATTTAACATTATATTATATTCGTAAAAACAATAACAAACACCTTTCTGATCTAATAAAAAGTAATTAATACATATCATTATACATTAACAGTGTATTTGAAATACTTTTTCGAAAATTAGAAAATCAAACCTAAATAAGATGTAAAAAACACAATTACGTATAAAAAGGAAAGTTTTAACTTAACCATACTGAAATTAATCTTTATTATTACTACAAAGACATCCCAAAATTAAATACAATTTTAGTTGTGTTTTATTTTGAGATGCCAAATATTAAATTAAAAATTGTTTAACATTAATACCTTTTTCATCAAGTAAATCTTCAAAGAAAACTAGGTTTAGAGTAAATCAAAATAGCGAAGCTTACCGAAGCACATGTTGCTGATGAAGTTGTTGTAACAGTTACTCCTGTTGAGGTAGCTAAGGTTGTTATGTCTTTAGGGTCAGAATTCATTTCAGCCGTATGTTTTGCAGAAGACTGGAAAGAAATTTCGTTAAAATTTATTTAAAAGGTTCATTACTTACAAAAGAAATCTTAATTACTTTTCCTACCTAATATAAAAAAATTGCAAATACAAATATATAATACTATAATTGGTACTTTTCTTTTATAAAATGTTGAAAATTTAGTTTACTTAGCAAAATATTCATGAACCAATAGTGCCATTCATACTTAGGGAACTAAAAATATATATGCATGTGAAAGAAAAAGTTAACTCAAGAAAAGCATTCTTTTATTCTGTTTCAACCACCACCCAAATATAATGGAATAGAATTACCTGTTGGTAAGTAGAAGCTGAAGACCTTATACATGGTCCCTTCATTCCATCTGTAACTGCAGACTGTTTCTCAACATCAGGAGAATCCTTTGGTATTTTACTTTTTTGAAATAATTTCTTATGTTTATTTATAATTGTTAGTGAGGAAGTGGAAAATACCACATTAGATGCAGACACTTTAGACCCTGTACTAATGATGGAGGATGAATTATTCGAAGGTAGGGATAAACTGGAAGATGGTGAAGAAGTGGATGGTGCAAGGGTCGATGATGATACTGATGCCAACAATACAGTGGAGGTAGTTGAAGGAGGTGGAGAAACTGCATCCTTATGGGAAGGAACTTTTTGTGGCATAATTGTTTGAGAAGATGGTGATGAATTCATTTGGTCTGTTGCAACGGTTTCAAGGAGCGGCGACGTAAGTTGTAGCGCTTCGACTGAATTCGCAATGATCGTCGGAGAGGGGGCTGCCGGGGACTTCTGTGAAAATGAATTATAAAATTTCAAAGATAATCCAACTGGTAAAATTGTAAAAATATGATTAACTGATAGTATAACAAATAGAACTTACCGGAAATAACGGCCGCGGTGGCACACTGGGTTGGGTTTTCTTCTTCTTCTCTTTGATTCTACTTTCTTTCTTTTTAGCAACTGTTGAGGAACTAGAAGTACTTGTTAAAGTTGTATTAGTTCCAGGTACTTTAAGTTTTGTCCCTGAATGAAATTTCTCTCTATGTGATTTGAAAACAGAAGGTAACAACATCTTATTACAGGAATTGCATTTCATTAGTTTAAAAACTTCCATTTTTGGACATATTCCATAAGTATTGATATCTTTTCGAGGAAGTAAACTAACATTTCCACTTTCTTCGTTGTCTTTAGAATCTATCACTAAAATTATATTATAAACCCTCAAGTCTTTTTTACAGTTCATTTACTTACAAATTTGATTGGTAGTAACTTTCATATCTTTTAAATATGTATCCCATGATTGACCTTTGTAAGAATACAGCTGTGGTAGTGAATTACTCATGTTTGATTTAATTTCTAAAGAAATACAATACTCATTATCAAACAGTATTTATTTCAAGTACTGTTACTTGAAACTGTTTATTTATAATGATTTAAATTTCTAACCTAAAATATTCGCAGAAATATTTTTCAGCACTAAAGGTAGTCTCCTATTTTGAAATTTCAAGGATTTCTAATAAACATGGATGTTAATCACATATACTTATTTCATCTACTGCTTCAATAGAAGGTAAATAAACGAGAAACCGGTCATCTTAATCGACAGCTGTTTGTCATTCTAAATCTATATTTTGACACTACAAACTTATCAAATGATAGAACAGATGGAGCAACACGTCATCCTATAAAAATTGTGTTTCTTAATTTAAATGTATTAATAATTTTGAATTAACATTAAATAAGATTTTAATTGCGACTACATAGTTAAGGCACCTATGACAATATTCTTCCTCAAAATGTGTCCTAAGTAGTCACGACTTTTTTGTCATGAATACTTTTAATTATTTGTTATTACCTTTNCAGAAAAGAGGATAAAGAAAAGAGCTATTCGACTAAAGAAAAAAGAAAATCAGAATCAGATCCCAAAGGTAAATCATCAAAAAGGTCACTGAAATGTTCTATTGGTATACAGGCTAGAGTTTCTAGGGATAATTCTAAACACTACATTAAACTTTTGGATCCTAGGCCTTATCTTATGATTGATGGAAATTATACTTATCCCCCTTCTGATGTAAGAGTTTAATTTAACATGCAAATTTTTTACTTTAACTTTTTTATTTTGTAGTTGAAATTGAAATATCGACGTTTCTTTCATATAGAAACACATTGTAATGGTGGAGCTTTAATTTTACATGCCTATCAAGATGAGATAAGGCACCTAAGAACCCACGAGATGAAAGAATTGGCTTCTGAATTTTTTAAACTGGCATTCTCTGAAGAAGGAGGTTGGGCTAATTTTGTAATGGCAATCGTTCATGGGTCTGCTTCTTATTTACCCGATTTGTTGGAGCATATGGCCCAAAAATACCCACATTTAACTGTTAAAAATGGGGTACTTAATAGACCAAATGACATCGAAACTACAACTCTGGCTTCCTATAATGAAAACGTCATTAAACATTATGATAGTGGGACTGTACGGTATGGACCCCTTCATCAAATAAGTTTAGTAGGCATTGCCCATGAGGAAGTAGGTGGATATTTTCCAGAACTTTTGGATAAGCTGGAAGAAAATATTTTCCTTCAAATGGTATTTTTCTAATGACTCTTCATTAGTAGTTATTTTTATTCTATTATATTTTCATAAGTAATACATAAAATTTCTTTAACAGACAATGCCTTGGGGACCTCTTTCTGTTGTACATATGAATCGTCATGAATCAAACGACGGGCCCATTTTATGGTGTCGTCCAGGTGAACAAATGGTTCCGACAGTTGAGAACTCAAGAACTCCAATCAAAAGAAAACGGTATGCATTGTTAATTTCTATCATATTTAATTGAATTACTGACGTAACAAATTTTAGCACTGGCATCAACGAGTTGAGGAACTTACAGTATCTGCCACGTCTTTCAGAGGCTCGCGAGCATTTGTTTGAGGACCGAACGAAAGCTCATGCGGACCATGTAGGCCATGGTTTGGACCGCAAAACTACCGCTGCTGTTGGAGTACTGAAGGCAATACATGGTGGAAGGAAAGATGGAAACATCAATCGAATTACAAAAGACGTCGTAGCTTTCGATGCTAAAGATTTTGATGTACTGTCTGAAAAGTTGCAACTAGATTTACACGAGCCTCCGATTTCTCAAGTAAATAATTCATGTTTCTTGTCCAGTTAGTTACTACTACTTCTCTTTTTACTCGAATATTTAAAATTGTATAAAATGTTTTAACATTACCTTGCTTAAGATTAGATTTTAATTAAATTATTTTGTTTAAAAAATTTTATTTATTGTTTTCAGACTTACTTGTATCTCCTTGTTCTCCCAGATTGGCAGAGACATTTATACAAAGGTCTACACTTAGACAAGATCCTTCACAAGAGATTTTAAGGACATCTTCACCAATTGATATATTATCAAACCGGACTAGTGATGGTATATACCGAAGTCCAATATTTATTAGAAGAGAAGTTTTAAGTGATTCACCAAATTCAGATGATATGTGGAATGATGAAGACAGAAGTAGTCAAAAGTCTGAAGATGTGGAAGAAGAAAAGGAAATTGTAAATAGTACAAAACCAAATAATCAGAACCTCAGTATTTCAAGTACACTATTTAATCACATTGATTTTAAAAGCAATATTATAAGTGAAGAAAATAATTGTAATAAGTATTTGTCATGTGCAATTCCAGATCATCATGAAGATATCGGTTCCAATTTTTTAAATTCACATAAATGCTCGAACCTTGTGCCTAATGATAACTATGAAGTTCAAAGGACAGTGATATCTGATCAAAATAATTGTATTGTGCAAAGTGATTCAGGTGATTGTGTGTTAAATGCTAATGAAGAATATTGTAGTGATTTTAATTCACATGATACAAAGCATTTTAAGAACATTTTAAATTCAGAAAGCAATGGGATTGAATCAACATCGCAAGATAAATTTAAGCAAGAGACAGAAGAATCTGTATTTGATGAAATACAAAAGTTTAATCATAACTGTAAAACTGAAACAGAGGAACGTATAGAACTGCCAGGGCCCGTGAATGAAAATGCTGTTTTAGAAAATGTCAACCATGAAAATAAGGAAAATGAAATAGAACATAAAAGATCATTTAGAAAAGGTTCACATGTTTCTTTTGCAGACACTGTAACTACATTTGAAACAGAAGGACCTGAGAATGAAGATAACATGTTGGAGCCTTATGAAGCTATTGAAGGCTCGGCAACTATTGAATGTAATTTATCTGGAATAAATGAATCTTCTGCTTTAGTAGAATCTCTTGATTTGAAAAAGCTGAAAGGAAAAAAAGGTGTTGAATTGTTAACTGCAATTGAAGAGCAAACCAATGTAAAAATTGCGCAAATGGGTTTCTCTTCCAGTTGTGATTCTATAGCAATTAATAATGAGAAGGAATTTCCTAAAAGAGCACAAAGAACACGTTCTGTTGAATCTGCTCTTCCTGATATTCAGGAAAAACAAAGGAAAGGAAAAGGGATAAAAAGAGCTCGATCAGCAGAATGTCAAGGTTCTGCGCCATTTAAAAAAATATCTAAAGTTGATATTAAACAAGGAAGAAAAACTAAGAAGCCGGAAGTGCCTAAAAATAATATTAAAGAACATAAACATGACAGAAAAGAGGATAAAGAAAAGAGCTATTCGACTAAAGAAAAAAGAAAATCAGAATCAGATCCCAAAGGTAAATCATCAAAAAGGTCACTGAAATGTTCTATTGGTATACAGGCTAGAGTTTCTAGGGATAATTCTAAACACTACATTAAACTTTTGGATCCTAGGCCTTATCTTATGATTGATGGAAATTATACTTATCCCCCTTCTGATGTAAGAGTTTAATTTAACATGCAAATTTTTTACTTTAACTTTTTTATTTTGTAGTTGAAATTGAAATATCGACGTTTCTTTCATATAGAAACACATTGTAATGGTGGAGCTTTAATTTTACATGCCTATCAAGATGAGATAAGGCACCTAAGAACCCACGAGATGAAAGAATTGGCTTCTGAATTTTTTAAACTGGCATTCTCTGAAGAAGGAGGTTGGGCTAATTTTGTAATGGCAATCGTTCATGGGTCTGCTTCTTATTTACCCGATTTGTTGGAGCATATGGCCCAAAAATACCCACATTTAACTGTTAAAAATGGGGTACTTAATAGACCAAATGACATCGAAACTACAACTCTGGCTTCCTATAATGAAAACGTCATTAAACATTATGATAGTGGGACTGTACGGTATGGACCCCTTCATCAAATAAGTTTAGTAGGCATTGCCCATGAGGAAGTAGGTGGATATTTTCCAGAACTTTTGGATAAGCTGGAAGAAAATATTTTCCTTCAAATGGTATTTTTCTAATGACTCTTCATTAGTAGTTATTTTTATTCTATTATATTTTCATAAGTAATACATAAAATTTCTTTAACAGACAATGCCTTGGGGACCTCTTTCTGTTGTACATATGAATCGTCATGAATCAAACGACGGGCCCATTTTATGGTGTCGTCCAGGTGAACAAATGGTTCCGACAGTTGAGAACTCAAGAACTCCAATCAAAAGAAAACGGTATGCATTGTTAATTTCTATCATATTTAATTGAATTACTGACGTAACAAATTTTAGCACTGGCATCAACGAGTTGAGGAACTTACAGTATCTGCCACGTCTTTCAGAGGCTCGCGAGCATTTGTTTGAGGACCGAACGAAAGCTCATGCGGACCATGTAGGCCATGGTTTGGACCGCAAAACTACCGCTGCTGTTGGAGTACTGAAGGCAATACATGGTGGAAGGAAAGATGGAAACATCAATCGAATTACAAAAGACGTCGTAGCTTTCGATGCTAAAGATTTTGATGTACTGTCTGAAAAGTTGCAACTAGATTTACACGAGCCTCCGATTTCTCAAGTAAATAATTCATGTTTCTTGTCCAGTTAGTTACTACTACTTCTCTTTTTACTCGAATATTTAAAATTGTATAAAATGTTTTAACATTACCTTGCTTAAGATTAGATTTTAATTAAATTATTTTGTTTAAATAGTGTGTAACATGGATTGAAGATGCCAAACTAAACCAACTCCGAAGGGATGGTATCAAATATGCCCGAATAGCTTTACATGATAACGATATTTATTTTTTGCCTCGTAATATAATACATCAATTTCGTACGGTTACTGCTGTTACCAGTATTGGTGAGTTTATATCATATATTCCTACATTGACTTCAACAATAATTGAATTTGTTTCAAATAAAAATTTTTTGTAGCTTGGCATGTTCGTCTACAACAGTATTATGATATACCTGAACAACCAGTAGACATAATGGAAGACCAAACACAGGAAAAGGACGCAAAAATTAAAGTTAAAATTGAGAAACAAAATCATAAAATCTTCTCGAAACCTACTTCAGACACAAAACTGAAATTAAACGATAACGGAAAAGTACATATAATTAAAAACGAAGAAAAGGATGAGCTGAAAAAGAAAAGCAGTGAGGGAAGGCCAACAGATCATAGAGAGAAAGAAAATTGCGAAAGTAAAACAAAATCGGAGTATAAACATCGATCTTCTGACAGGTCCAAGGATGATAGAATTAACAAACATAGACATGATCATAATAGGGAACATAAGGATAAAAAACACGACAAAAGTACACATCATCGACACAAAGATAAACACAGAGAGCATAAGAGGGATAGTGGCCACAGAGACAGGGAGAAGAGCTCTTCCAGCAATAGTTCTAGCAAGCACCATCATCGCGATCGTGATTACGATAAGAAACACCATAAATATAACGATCAATATAAAAATAGTGTACAAGAGAAAAAAGTCAATCCTGAATCATTCACAAAGCCCGAGTCTTCGCCGATGGAGAAAAACTATTCACCAACTACTAAAAGCTGCGTTTTCAACGAACCAGTATCATCATTGCCCACATCAGGAACATGCCTAATAACACCGGTAAGTAGTTTAGAGAATTCACCTGAAAAAAAAATAAAAAAGGCCGCAAAAATTATAAGAAGGCCTAGGTTGTCTCAGTCTTCAGACGTTCTCGGTGATATTCTAAAAGACATGGACCGCAAAGATCCCTTAAAATAGTTGGGGCTGTGCTTCGTACATTTTATATGCATATATATATATTATTACTCATCAGCTGTATATATTCATCGCTAAACATTTTAACTTTCTTAAATAGTTTATTAATTTATTTTCAAACGTATCGTTATCTACGTTTTGTATATAAAAAATTCATTCAATATTGATGTCAACGCAAGTATGAATGACAAAAATTATTACGGTTTTTCTTATTACGGATTATAATCGATTTTTTTTTATTTTTGACAAGGACTGATAAAATTTTAACTTTTAAATAGTTTGTCTTGCCATATTTCCGGAAAACAGAAGTTTTAAATGGAGTATATTTTTATTTTAGTAGCTTTTTAACAGCTAATGTATTTAAAAAATTATTTTCTTTTTATTCTTATTAGAAGTGCACAGTAATATTTTTAACTTCTATCAGATTTTGATGTGTATAATTCATAATTTAAAGAATTAACGACTTTTTTGTTGTCTAGCTTTCATTTGTCGCTACTTATATTCGATCTCATCAATTAGAAAAAAAGTTGATTTTGATGATTATTACAAATGTATTTCACACCTATGTTAAAAATCATCTAAATTTACCACTGTATATAGTGTAAAAGTAATTCTGTACAGTTTTTTACATAGTAACGTTATTGTATAAAACTAAAGATATAAGATTGTTAGAAAATTAGACTATATTACAGCTATATTTTCGTATTACACTGTCAGAATTTATTTACTTTAGGCTATTTAAAATGTTTTTCTATAGTTTACAAGTTTTTATTTTCACAAAGAAAATATTGGTAACTACATATATATAAAAGCGTTCACCCTCCAAATTGATTTTTTCATTGTGAATATTTTTCTCAAATTTAAATGTGCTTGGCTAATTCAGGAAAATGTTTGCGTTTTACTAGATTTCGGAACGAAAAAATGTAACATTCCCATATCCATTTGTTGACCTTGACCCCAAGTTTACAAAGGAAGCCCTTTCCATTTCCTGTTACGTTATATTTTTGACTCCTATTCCTGCTGGACCCGGATCCTAACTTACAACATTCTCCTTGTGGGGGGCTGTGGTTATTGTGATGTGCCCTTTTTAACGTCCTCCATTAATATGAAACTTCGTTTCTTATTGATGGCGAAGAAACAAGCTTTTAATTTTTGAAGACGACACTGAGAGAAATTATTTCCTGGATTAACCTGCTTCTAAGGAAAGGTAGAAGTTTGCATTTTTTAAAACGCTATTTTATCATAAATAAGTAAAAAAAAATATGGTTCCCTGACTTGTGAAAACCATTTCAGTATTAAATATTTTAATAAGTGCTTTTATGCATACATATACTTTATATTTGAATGATGAATACTGAAATGGTTGGGCGTATTACGAGGTATTTATTTTGTTCAAATAATTAAGTTATACCATCATCGCCTATGAGAAGTGAGCACATATTAATTAAAAGTACAGTAGATAATTTTAAATTACCATCAGAAGTTTCTTAACCCCATATTTTTTTGCTTAACGACACTAATATTAGCAAAACTGATTGGTTTGCAAAATTATTATTTTACAACCCATCTTACATTCCAGTCAGTTTATATGTTGCATCGTAATTCTCAACAATAAAAGATAATTTATTTTGTTTGTTTTTATAAACTTCTAAAAGTTTTTAAATAAGTGGCATACATAAAATACATAAGTAAATTTGCAAGTAGTTTGCCTTTTGATAAAAACAGTAGAAAAAAAAACAATTATCTCATTTTCGTGCTCATTATAAACCTGTCGACCTAACCTTTGCATCTTAAAATATTTTATGCATATTAAAAAGTCATGTTACAATATGCCTAATGTGATTTGATCACGGAAAGATACGTATTTAATTAAATATTTTAATTTAATTAGATTAAGTTCATATTAGTTTAAAAAAGTAAATAAAAAAATGATTCATTTAAATGCATTGAAAGTTATATTTGGTTACCTGTATGTAAAAACAACTTGACAATATGTAATTCTAGAGCAAACAAAAAGAAAAATTACATTTTATATTTGTTCTGTATGTATTCATTGTTTGAACATACAGTCAATCAATTGTATTCACAACCAGTATGGTCGCAGATTTTGTAGCTATCTCACATATGAGATATATTCCTATTTGATAGAACAAAATTTTCAATAGCTAGCGGAATGCAATGCCCCGTAGCAAAATTACACAAAACAATCGCGTGGGCAAGCAGTTTTTAGGACAAATAAAAGCAAAATATAAATACGATTAATAATAGCCACACTTACAGTATTTGGCAGATAGAATATTATTTGAAACAACACTTAATCTATAGTATGTAACATTGAAAAAGTCATGATGAGTGAAAAGTATTACAAAAAGAACTTAAAATGCCTAATTGTAATTTTATCTTTAAAACCGAAAACACTTTCTTCTACAGATATTTGAACCTCGATATTTTTCCATTAGTTCACAATTCAAATTTATGTTACACGCACTATTAAATTGATCTAATATAATTAGTTGCAAAGTAAAAATTTCACTGTTACACAGCATTAATTTATTAACTAGAATTATTTTATAAAAAAATATTTGAAAATTATTAAAAACAAAAAAAAACAAGTAGAAACTGGTTTGTATCGTGAAAAATCCACCATTCAAAATATTTAATCTTTTATTTACATTCATTTTTCAAATGTTGAGCAAGCAGAGTTGACTATTACTTGCTTGTGTCATTTTATTACATATTTTTAATTAATTCAATGAGATAAAAAACGAAAAACAATGCAGCACATTCAATCACATCACACTTAAATGAAGTACTTACTATATCAGTCATTAATAGTAGAAAATATAACAACAATTTTTTTGAAGATGTTTAGAATTAATCTCCAAACTAGCGCTATGAGCTACTAGGTATAACATACACTCATCTGTTTTTTCCTGTTCTCTAAAGACTTGAAACATTCCTTATATCCTGAAATTAATTAAATAGCTACTTTTCGTATCGCAATAAATTGAGAAAATTTTCTTACAGTGTACTAGCTGATGTCTTACAAACTATGCAGCTCAGAAATCAAGAAATAAGGAATTAATGTGGCCCTTAGAGATTATTACAAATAAATGTCATTTTAAAAAGCGACGAGGTAGAGGTTATTCTTTTTAATCCAAACTTAAATATTGACATTCCAATACACGTACAAGAAAGGTGTGGTGTTTAAGGAACATTAATATTTAAAAAAAAAGGCAAAAGATACTGTGATCAGCAAATGAAAACTAAATTCCTAATTAACATACAAGTTTAATAACGATTGGGAATTCCTCTTTAAAAACCTATTAATACAGCAATACTTTAAAACAAACAGTAGATTAGTTAAAAGCATGAAACCCAGTTATTTACATTTTTGAACTGTTATAAACTAAATCGCAATCACTACAAGCAAAATCAGAGGAACAACCCAACCCTAAAAACTTAAATCTAATTCTTAAAAACCATATTGTGGTTCAAGCTTTACTATAAAAATTAAAAATGTTTTAACTCTTTTTTTTTTAATTCAAACCTGTACCCGCCCTCTGGATAATCTCAGTAAGTTTTCGTGAACTTAAAACTAACTGATCAAATCTACATGTTGAACATCCTTCAGAAAAAATTACTATATATACTTGGCAACGTGATTCTAGAGAGGAAAATGTGTTAAAAAAAAATGTTAATAAGCACCAATACCTGCTTTTACATTTGAGCAAATATGCTCAAAATTAATTGCTAATTAATAAGATGTATCGTAGTACGTTTTTAAAATAAAAACTGGTTAACGAACGTGAAATTAAAAATTAATAAGTGTCTTTTTCTCATCGATATTTATATGCGAATATCATTTAAGACATTTTTTATACATTTTTGACAAGTCTTAATAAAAAAAAAGGAAACATTGTGTAAACTAATCACGCTACACTAAGGTTAGAAGTTAAAATTTTTGAAATTAAAATCACTTCTCGCACTATAACTGGGAACTAATTAAAAAAAAAATAGTTGTTTTATCTACCTGTATATGGGAAAATAAAAACGAAACAACCATCACTCGTTGATTATTAGAGTTATTTTAAAATGTCCTGGGCCGCAAACTGCGCGAGGGTCAGACCTTTTACATTCTATTGTACACTTCAAAAACATTGACTGGACCGTTAGCCATGTAAACGATGATGACCACACGGCCAATATTTTTTTATCGAAAACTAAAACTCAAAAAAATAGGTAGTTTTGTCACTGCACAACTCAACGCCAAAGCCCAAGATATTCTAAACTAGCTCTACGGAGCGGCGTATAAAAATACGAAAAATGGGATAAATAGAATATTCATTTACATTTTCGCGCTGTAACATAAAGCTTACGCCAACGTTTATTAGAAATATAATCACGTTTATAAAACGAAGAAATTGTTGATAGAATTATGCTTTTATTTGATGGTGAAATTTACCGAACTGCAATAACAGCAAACGGATGTAGAAAATTAATCTATAAAAAATAAAAGCAAATGTGTTACTAGTAGGACATAAGTTTTTGACACAAGAATAACAATCTCAGTTCTGACTAGTAACAATCACCGTTTGCAGTCTGTCATTGAAAAACTGCTGCAATGTTCGAAATTTAGCTACAGGTTTTTGGCTAGTTATTATTGGAATTTGTACCAAATAATTAACAATTGCAAACGTTAAGAGTTAACAAAACGGTAAAAATGAACAAAAATTTTGACTTCTTAGCTGAGAGAGGGAAAATCGCGTTCATCATCGACTTTTGGTGCCCTTTCTGCACGCTGTGAAGAGTCATCGTGATCCTCGTTAGCCACACCACCAGCTCCAGCCCCTGGGCCTCCACGGAAACGTTGTTGTGGTTGTTGTCGGTCTCTGTTTGATCTTGCGCCACGACCAGCTCTTCCTCCTCTGCCACGTCCACCAGTTCCACCACGTCTACTATCGTTGAAATGAATATCAATATCCAGTATATGTTTTTGCCTTCCAACACGTTGTGGGTATTCATTTTGATCATATTCTTCTTCCTCGGATTCCTTCAAAAAAAAAAAAAAACATTAAAATTCTCTACAGATTTCAGAAAATCAGTAAATTTAGAATATTGTGCATCAGAAATTCAAAAACAATCAGGTATATAAAGATACCTTTACTTTTAACATAAAAGTGGTATTTCAATCAATTTATCTGGAACATTTTTAAGTTAATGTTAACTGGTATCATTAAAGTTGTTCAAGTAGTATAATAAAAGAGAGAAATGTAAATATAATCTTACCTCAGTCTCTTCTTCCTTTTTCTTCAATTCATACATCTTTTTCCATTGGGTTGGGTCTTCACCTTCTCCGGCTTTACGTATGTTATATTGAGGTTTTGTACGACCAGCGCGTTGAGCCTCACGTTGAGCCTTCCATTCATCCAGAGTGAGTTCCTTTGGCTCTTCCACTTCTGGAGCAGCTTCTGGTTCAGGTTCTCCACTATCCCTAACATAGTTGAAAAATTTTAATTCAAAATAAGTATAAGTTTTCGTTCAGTAGTTTGGCAAACCTCATGGATTACTTACTTATTTTCTCCAGCTGATAATCCAGAATCGTTTTTATCGACATCGCCCCAGGAAGCATCAATTTCTTCAGCCTTGTTAACTTCTCTATAATATGAATTTATTAGCAATAAACAATTGTCGGTAAACCTCATACTCACTCTATAATATCCTTGTGAGATCCCCAATTATGTGCACCAGCTCCGTCTCGTTTTTCAATCGGTTTTACGCCACTACAAATTCAATAACACTTCATTATAAACACCAGTATAAAAATACAAAAACCTACGTTTTATCTGATCCACTTTGTCTATCAAATTCCCGCTTTCCTCGTCGCTCAAAATTGCGATTATTCCTAGGTCCGCGAGGTCCATCTTTATTTCCAACATTCCTGTTCCTTGGACGTCCCTCAAAGTTATCAGATAAATCTTTCCTTGGAGGTCGATCATCTCTATCACTATATTTATATCACTGTATTGTAAGCACGAGATGCACAATAGAAGCTTCAAAAACTTACCGATTTCCATCTACAGGTCCATTAAATTGTCTATCTTCACGATTTCGCCGGTTATTTCGTTCCTCACGATTTTCGTTATTGAACTTGTTAAAGTTTCTTTCTGGTTTGCTTTCAATATTAGAGCGTGGATTAGGCTTAGTATCTACAATGATGCGATGCTTAACGTTTCACTTTATACAGACAGAATGTGATGGTTACATGAATTCAATTATGCTACTATCACATGTGCAATTTAGGATGATGGCTACCTACTTACCCTCACGCTTGCTATCTTGGGGCTTGTGGGCCGGAGTCTCTTTATTCGTTTTCTTGGAACCTTGTACCGTTTTCACTTTAGTCGGGGCATCCGTCTTTATTTTATTTTCCTTCTCAGAAGCCTTATTCTTCTTCTTTTGCTCTTTTTCCTGTTCTTTCTCTTTAAGAAGTTCTAGCGGATCTGATTCATCATCCAAAAAAAGAGCATATCTATTACGTGTGCCAATTCCATAAGAATTCTCCATTATAGTTGTGGCAACGATTAATCTTCACAACGACGAGATGTTGGAAGATTTGTTTTGGCTCTTTCGCCAATGTTTTCACGCACTCATTCAAGACAATATGGCCGCACTACTCAATCAGTCGGTTGGTTTACCAAAGTGACGCCTTGTTGCCAAATATAAGCATCTGACAAAACAATTTGAAAATATTTTTTTTACTTTTCGACTCCTTTAAAATTCATAGCTTGGGACAATGGAGATTATTTTTTTAAAATTTATTATGATATACAAGCAAATAAAGGGAATTAAGATAGATAAATTTATAATAATCTAAATGAAATTTTAAATTTTGTGGAAGTTGATATACATTCGACAACATTGTTGTTGTAAAGCGCATGTGTAAGAAAAACCGGCTGTTCCATTAGAATGCCTTACAGGGCAAGGGCAAGCTGTAAAACTTTGAATTTATTTATGATTTATTATTCGTTTGAATAATATTTATCAATCATTTTAGTCCATTTTCTACAAAGCTTTTCAG